TTCTACAGGAAATTTACTGGACGAAATTTCCCTGTGGGAACGGATATATCGCCCACAGGAAAATTTTACAGGAAATATCCTGTAGCAAAATCACTCTAATATACCAACAAGAGTGCTTCATCGTGCTTCGTCCGTTGACAACAATGACTCTCGTTGGAAGCCTTTTTTGTCGCTCCAAAATTCCATCATAACGTCGTAGTGCAGTGACAATGCACTAGCTGGACCATTACCAGTCTCGCTGGGACTCCAAGGTATCGTCAATGCCCATGCGGCCTTCATTTTCAAGAACTAAAAGCGAAAATATACAATATATTATGAGAGTTTAAATAGATACAACAACTTAACTTGTCTTGTACTTGTGCAACGGAAAACTCCTCCGTCGACATGCTCAACTCCACTGCCAGCATAACATACGCCGCCTTCTTCTCGGCGTTGTTTTTCAAGTCGAAACGCTTGACCGAAGTCGGAACAATTCATGGACACTCTCGTCGTCCCAAAGCGAGCCTCGCTTTGGGGTGTCAATCGACGTGCGCTTTGCGCGTCTGACCTTCTTGGCCTTTGGCGTTAGTTGCACTATGTACTGAGTGTCAGCATACGTTGAAAGTAGACATAGTAGTGAATACCATGGGTTTCTACATCATGCGTGTGAGCGTCGTCGTCATCACCCATGTGTCAGTCTGCAAATTGACTGTAAAGCAGGAATGGCTGGTACAGGGCAGGAACACCACATCCCTGCCTCAAACCAAATTGTCAGGCAGGAACGTTATGCGGATTTCGGATGAACTGACTAATCAAATTGATTTAATCCCAGCCTGAATTTCAAAAAGCTGGAATGGATTATTCAGCGACCAGGCTCTAATGATTATGCAGGCACAGCACACGGCTCGATGCAATGTCTATATCAAGAGCGCAGCTTGAACAGATCTCGCGGCGTGAGCTGACGGTGCATGTAAAAATTACTGCACAATAAATGTCCTTCTTGAATTGGACCGTTGCGATGAACGAGCGTTGATTGACCAGAATTTGGCAGATTCTCACAATTTGTGGTTCTTTGAAATTCAACCCCCTGATTGGACAATTCCACTTCAATTTGACCATTGTGGTCATTTTTATCCAATCATTTGCCATCGTTTCACCGGGTGTTCCAACCCTAAGAGACAGAGAAGTCACGATGTTGGCCGAGATGAACCAGCACCAGCATGGCCATAAGCGCCTGCTCAACATCCTCTTGCTCGGCAATGGAGTACGCATCAACCCGCGTGAAACGACGTGACCCGCACCTGGGTAGGCTCTTGCCGCTGGCATCCTTTTGAACAGCATCTTTGTACTCGGCGACTCCGGTGGACTCAACGAGTTCATCTGCGGCGCCATGTTCTTGAGCTACTCGTTCGCGGCCATCCTCATGCTGAACCGCAACCCGTCCGCATTCTCGGTGGGATTCGCTGTTCCGTGTCAAGGCTGATCACAGGAGTGTTTCTTTGTAGATCGGCATGTTGATGGGGTCGTCAGTCGTCCTGGCGGCTTTGGCGTTCCTCAACGCATTATACTGGGTCTGCATCCTCATGTATGCCTCTATGACCTCACTGTTGGTTTAGTTGGTTGCATCTGCAACCATGGAGGACCATACGGTGGCGGCAGGCTTCGCGGGAGCTTTCAACTTGATATACTTCGTAGTCGACGCAACCTTCGTCTCGATTTTGTATCGCTCCAAGCACGACATTATTGAAACGTACTCTGGTTAGCCATCTCTCGATGCTACATGCGCATGATATGCTTCCTTAGCCTACGACTACATCCCCGACAAGCATGAAGAAGTCGCCGACGTTGCGACCACGTCGTGCTCGCACTGCGAAGGCGACGACACGTTCTCTGTATGTTCGTATCAGTCGTCCGCGCAAGCCCCATTGCCCACAGCAGACATCTAGACCTGTTGCAATGGAATCCATATCTAGTCGAATGCCTCATCACTTAAGCATCCATTTCCTGAAAACGCTAGAGTGCGGTCTCTCGGGCAACGACCATGTCGATCGTGCTGTGAACCCACGGCTGCTCATACACAGTCGGGTCGTGCAAGTGCGCGGGCGACTCTCGGTGTGCCGCCGACAGAATCTATTTCCCGTTCAGTGAAAATCGTTTGTTGGCGACTGCACCTGCTCATCGGCGGCTTGGGACGCGAAGACTTGGTCCATAAACACTGAAGGGTCCTCAGCAAACTTTGCCATCCATGATCGGTTGGCGACGTGAGAGTTGATGCGCCGCACCAGGTTTGCCATCTACCAGTAGGTTATCTTCTCTCTGTCACGTTTTCAGGGGCCATTCGACGGACCTGAAGTTCAAGCTGGTTGAGCTCGTCCGTCGTGTCTTTACGATGCGCCGCGATAGAAGCGAGCGCGGCCATTTGAGTTTGGAGCAATGCTTCTTCGGCTTGTACCTTCTCCAGTGTCAGTCCATACCATCATGTAGCAGCCTCGGCGACCTCGATGCTGAAGGACTTGGTGCTGAGGCACACTTCATCTTTGTGGGCATCATCCAACCTAGGACAACTTTAGATTCTCATGCAGACATGTCACGGTCAAGGACTTTAGATCAAACTCTAGGGACACGGGGCCAACGGGGGTGAGCTTCTTCTGGAGTTTCCCCATCAACGCGTGGATGGGTTGTTCGGAGCACTCAAAGATGCGCTGGAATGCGGCATCGTTTGAGATGGCACGGGATCCGTCAACCTGCATCAAGTCTTTGTCTTTGATGTATTGCCACAGCGCGAGCGAAATGTCGGCCTTGACGAAAGAGTCGTCGGCGCCGTGGGTTGGCTTCACATACGGTGCCAGGACTTCGTACAAGTCCGGAGATAGCACAAAGCGCTCGGGGCTTTGGTGGCGAAGCAGTTGGAGCCGAAGCGTGTGACCACAACAGCCTCTCTTCCCAGGACGAGTAATCGTAAACCCATCCGACTCGTCGCCTGAACGAAAGCTAGACCACTGCAAAGGTGACAGAGAAATGGACTTGAAGAAAGCTGAAGGGAGAAATACCTCAATGGGATTGCAGCCAGGATACAGTTGATCGTCCAATTCCAGGATGGCTTTACGAAAAAAGTTGGAAAATCGCTTCGTTGTGGGCCATGGTGTGTTCCCGTCCATGACCGTGCCCTCGACGCGAAAAGTCCACTCGCCATCGTCGATCAGTTCTGTTCGGTGTACTTGCTCTCCGTCGCTTGAAGGGGATGGAGCGCTGCTGTTGCTGTCGGATTTCTTGGATGGTACGAATGAGTAGTAGAAAGACACCTTCATGGTTTTTCGGACCATCTACAGGGCGATCGCATGAGCCAAACCAGCGATACATCGCTTGCTGAAGTAGAATGCGTTACCTTTGGCGGATTCTGGGTGCTCATGTGAAGTCGTCGAACGTGGCGACCTATCGTAGCATCAAGTTGCTTCTCCAGTGCCTTCAATTGCTTGTAGGTTGCATATTGATCCGGGTCAATAGTCTCTGCCTGACACGAAAAGTCACATCAAGAGAACTGACCGAAGGAATAGACCCGCGGTACCTCTGCAAGTAGGACAGACACCTTCCGCTTCGTTGTCGCCTGTGCCGCCTCAACATCTGCCATAGTTTTCTTGAGATTGAAATGTATAAAATGATGCGGGTATTGCAAAAAGAACTCCAGAAAATTATACAGTTGATCAACTCGACTCTTTCCCAAGATGACAGTCAAGTGCCATGGCGGATACGGCTCGCTGGGAGAAATGGAGTCCTTCGAGGCAGATGACGACATCATCGCCATCGCCGGTGGACATTCAGCGACGTATGCAGCAACGAAGACAACTCTTTATGGATGGGGCATGGGCCTTCATGGTGAGACCATGACTTCATCGACTGCAACGTGGCCGCTGTCGGTTCGAAGTATAGCCTGTGGCAGATCTCATGTGGTGCTCTGTATCACGTCGGGGAAGTGTCTTTGGTGGGGCCGCCATCTCGGCAGCGAGATCACACGTCCCCAAGAGATTGTGTTCCCGATCGACGATTCAGTGCACGCAACCCACGTGGCAGCAGGCGAAGCGCACTCGCTTGTCATGGATGGGACTGGTCGTGTCTTTAGCTGGGGGTCGAATGAGTTCGGTCAATGCGGACGTACTAATAGCAGGGACAATGTCACGATCGTGTCCGTGCCCAAGAGCAAGTACATTGCGGCAGGTGCCAATCATAGTGCTGTCATCACAACGAGTGGCCACTTGTACACTTTTGGTTGGGGTCTCTACCACCAATTGGGGCATGGAACCACCGAAGACGTTCATATCCCGACTCTTGTCTCCAGTTTGGATGGTGTCGGGGAGCTTCAAGGGGGGCAATTCACGGGATTAGCACAAGTCGCATGCGGTGCATGGCACACTGCAGGTATCCAGCACTCGATTCAATCTATTGCTCAATTTTGGTGCAGCTCTCACGACAACGGGTGACGTGTACACATGGGGCTGGGGGCAGCATGGTCAGTTGGTATGTCCATCTCCATCACAACACGAACCTCAGCACTCTCGACGCAGGGCCACGCAACTCTAGAAAGTCAAGTGTTCCCTGCTTTGCTCCATGTGGACTTTGCTGTTCAGGATATTTCCTGCGGCACCCGCCACACCACAGCACGAACAGTCGATGGATCGGTCCACCGGTGGGGCTTCACGTGTCCATCGCACACGATCGTCGCGGGCCCAAGCCAGCACCCCAATACGACACATCACGTCGTCGTTTCGTCCAAATTGTGTCGTAAGATTGCATCGGGGGCTTACCACGACGTGCTGGACGTCGACAGCACCACGGATCGATAAACGTTTCAACTATGCAGTGGTCGTGTTCACTTCCTGGCGCTCTATTCCGCCGAGTCTTCGTTCTCCTCGCTCACGTCTTTTGCAGCGTCCTCGATATCGTTGACAGTGCCGCCTTCGTCGTTGGCAGGCTTCTGTTTGTCTTCTTTCTGGTCCTTCTTAGGGAACTTCTCCAGGACTTCCTGCGTCAGGGTATCGTCGTACAACCCCAGCGCCTTCATCGTAGACGTAAGAGCAAACCCGTCAGGCTTGGCGGTCATGACGTTGATCGTGTTGCGGCCCCGCCAAATGACAATGTTCAGCAAAAGTTTTCTACCATGCATCATGTGCTGTCAACCAAAAAGTCAAGAGATCCAACGTACTCTGGGATGGTGAGGGCGACACCGTCGTCACGCGCCAGCGTGCAAACATAACTTCCCAACGGGGAGGCCTTCAGGACACCCGCAAGCTCGTCGCTGAGTTCATCAAACTGGAGCAATTCACCTCGTCGTTCGAGGAGGTATTGAAAGTCACGGTTGCCAACGGTGACCTTGCGTGTGTTCATGTGGGGGAGTGCAATGTGCGCGCCGGACTGCGTCAGACGGTAGGTGCTGTCTCCGATGCCAAGTTCGTGGCGTTCAAATACTTTGATGCCGGTGTAAACAACCTGAACAAGCAAGCGAGTCATGGGATTTTAATGTCGAGGGGTGCAGATACCTTCATGTCGAGCGCTTTCATCGCAGGCAAGAGCTCTTTGGACACGGACGAGGTGACAAAGTTAACGGTGCGGCCCGAGTCGGATCGCGTAAAGAGTTGACTGGCCTCGAAGGTTGGACTCATGTTGTATGTCGTTTGAATCGACGCATACTCGTTAAAGGGCAAGTACTCTTCGCCATGTTTCTTGCCCTTTTGCTGCCCAGCAGCAGAGCTTGCGTTCTCTGACGGAGTTTCCCCCACCTTTTCGATGAGCACAATGAAGAAACCACCCGTGTTCTGTCGGACAATTCCATCAGATATTGACATGGAACGTCTGCACGTACTTCGTCCTGAGGCACGCAGCGCATACACCGGTCCAAATGGAACGACGCGACTTCGTCAGCAGTGGGAGGGAATACCGTGGCCGGCAACGACTTGTATCGGCCCTTGGCAGCCTCAGCCGCTTCATCGAAGTCGGCTGTTTCCACCATGTCGTAGTCGTAAACCTTCCACGATGAGATGCCGCGACGGCGCTTCAGCTTGGGCAAAATGTTGGACATATCCATGAGGCGAAGCGAGCCGTTGGACCACCGGAGAAGTTCGGCAACCACGGCTTCGTTTTCGACGGGATTGAACGAGCACGTCGAGTAGCACATACGACCACCGACCTGGATTCCAGTGTAAGATTCATAAACATGGTTCATGTATACCTTGAGCAACGTCGCGCCGTGCTTGACGATCGACAACTGCAGCGGATGCAGCGACAGCCCGTTGCGGACGTGCCACTTTTGCCAAATCAAAGGATTTTTACGCATGGTACCGTCGCCACTGCAGGGAGCGTCGCACAAGATGCGATCGAAGAAACCCTGTTTGTTGTCAGTACTGCTGAGCAAAGGAAACTTTTGCGCTTCATGACATGTGATCACCAATGCAGGCGAACCCACGCGTTTTGTCTAGAGGAAGTGCCGCCATGAGAAGACTTGGTTGCATCCAGAGAGTTTCGCAATGTACCTGATGGGTTAACATGTACGCTCGCTTAATGTCAATGTCGTTGGCTACTATCAGACCCGTAGGCATCTTTCCCGTCTTGCTCTCGTCATCATGAAGGGATTCCAGAAGCTGCGATGTCTTGGACCCTGGCGCAGCGCACATGTCCAGCACCTACATACCATACACAACAAGATACGCGATGAGGGTCTAAGCGGAAGGGCCAGTGGTACCTTGTGGTGCGATTCAACTCCCAACACAAGCGGGGGAATCATGCTCACTGCCTCTTGGCGCGTAATGTCTCCCGAGTCGGACAAGTTGACCAACCACTTTTGAAAATCGCTCAGAATGTCCAGCTTTTTGATCTTTCGACGTTCGACGCTCCATTGAAACCCCTTCCCGTCGGGGTACCACGGCATCGTGCTGATCGGCGCGATCTTTTCCCCGTCAATTTCAAGATCTTCGTACTTGAAGTCTGTCGCGATGCGCTCCTTGATCCTGCATGTCCTCGTGACTCGTTGTCGCGGAAACAACATTGTGTCCTACTTGTCTTCGTAGGCACACGAGTTGTTGATGCGGAAGGTAGTTGGCAACGGGAGCGACAAATGCTTCAAGAAAGTATCCCATTCTTCAGTTCCTACAATCGCTTGGTCCTGGTGTTGGTGTCAGTGCGGCAGCCTGTGGTTGCACAGGTACCCACCGTATAGTACTTTTCGAACTGCTCATTCTTGTACACCCACTCGCCAAAACCTGCTTCGCGGTCCGCGCCGTCGCTCCTCGACTTCTTGTTCCATGTGTTCTCGCCTTTCTGGCCCTTGCGCTTGCGAAAGTTGCGCTTCCCCATCGTCCGTCGTTTCCTGCGGCCGCAAATGTGCAGTCCAATTATTTCCATGTATCCGGTTGTCCGGATAATGAAGCAACCCACATTCCCACGTGAACCCCGAGTGACGATCGTTGCCGTGTGGGCAATCCGTGTGTCACAGACTAGGTCCTAACCACGGTGACCACACCTACACGTGAGCAACACTTGGTCGCAGCAACAACCGAGGCAAGTCTGCCGCGACACGGCCACTGTGGAGAGCGCCGAAAAGGACATGTTGTCGGTGTTGGTCCGCACTACGTGGGCGTGGGTGCATTCAGGTGTACAGTTCGTTGCGGCCCCGCCAACGGGACTCACGCGGGTCAAGTTGTGTCCCAGAGAGAAGAGCGGGCGAGGGGGTACTGCATCGCGACTGATCCTCGTGTCCCACAAGAACACTCTGCCTCTTGGATGCACCGCAAGAAACTTCAAGGTCGACACGTTCATGAAAGCGGTCGCGTGCGTGCGTCCGCAATAGCAAGCGATAGGTGGCGATCGAACTCGACGATATGTACCAATCGGCCACTTTCCTTGGTCACGACGGAGGGGGGGGGTTGGCGGAGGAGATGCCGCCCGTCTGTGGTTCTGCGATTGTGAGAATTCCACAGCGCGCACACAACTGCAGCAGGTCGTCGGCGCCATCACGATTGATTTCGTTGGCGCGGGTCGAGATCCGAAACGGTCGAGGGTCCAAACACACCATGATTGGCTGAAAAGATGCCATCATCCACGAATCAACACACTTGGTCGCAACTCGACATTGGCGAGATGTTGTGAAATCAAACGCTTTTCAACCAATCCGAACGGAGCAGATGTCAACCGCGAAATATGCTCTCGGTGAAACGCCGCCACATGTTTTAACGTTCCAGGCAAGGCCTCTCGTGTGAGGAACAACCACGCTTAAATATACATGACCGCGCGCGTAAATATGCCGTTGCATCATCATCCATCCCCAGCCGTTCGCTTCTGAACGCTGGCGATGTGTGTGGTCGCGTCTGTGGCAGGCACGGCGAGCCAGCGTGCTTGCCGCCCCCTCCTCGAGAACACGCAAAACGTAGAGAAAGGCTTGGTCAGGTCCTTCCTCGTTTTTACCAGTGCATTGAAAAACGTAGGTCATTCGACATGTGCACATTCGGCACCGAGATGTCGCGGGCGTTGTAGAATCCAGTGGGGCGTTTCGGACGTCGGGCGAATGCGGCCGATTTCCGCCCGAATTAGGCCGAATTCGGACGTTTGGAGTGGCTCTTGCATGAACGACCGAATTTGAAGGTGGCGGGCAGTGGGATCTCCGGTTGCACACGGTTGCGTCAGTCGATTCGTTCCAGCGAATAAGTCGAGGGCTGACGACACACGGCACCTTCAAGTCGAGTGGGCTGCGCCCCCACGTCGGCCATTCTTCAACCCACCACCATCCCCCCACACGACCGACGATGGTAGACATCGCGCCGCAGTTTCAATTTCTCACACAAGATCTGTCCAAGTCCCAATTGGCCGTGACCGCGCCGGCCAAGGACGCCCTCTGGTTGCGTGGCCAACCGGCCCAAGTCCAGTGGGAACCCGTCAACTTGTCCGTCGACCAAGTCCGAATAGTGTTGCTGCAAACGAGCTCGATTGCCAACCAGACCGGCGCGTACACGATGGTGGCCGAGTGCACGTCCAACAATGGCGTGTTCGAGTACCGAAAAGTGCCGTGGGGTCTTTGCATGGACAACGACTACTTCATCCGCGTCATGTCGTTGGACGGTCAGCAGTTTGTCGATGGCGACTGCTTCTCGATCAGCGTTTAACTTATGGAGCCTCGCCCAAGCAAACACCCCTCCCATGGCTCATGTATCATTAATTTAATAGAGTTCTCCTTCGGCGAATCATTCCATCATTATCCCGTGCATTTTCTCCACTTTTTCGAATGTCTCGGGCGTGTGCTCAACGATTCGCATCACCCGACGCAACTGCCTCCTCCAACATGCTCCATTCAACGCATCATGCTGCCATCTTGTTGTCCTGCACGTTGTCTCTCCAAGAACTGTTCATGCAGCGCGTCGTGTTGAGGTCACAGAGGCAGCCCAGTCAACGAGGCTCCAAGCATGCGAAGTACGGACCGGGCGAATGCGTCACTCGAAAGATACGCCACAGTGACCAGCAGATCTTGAGCCATCCTGCCCGCGTCGAACCACGGCGCTGATTCCATATCGAACGGTCATCGGTCACCATCATTCAACGAAATCTGCTTGGGAAGCCATTCTCATGCTTATGGAATTCACCATGCTCGAGCTACGACCGTACGGGAGTGGGCGAGATTGTATACTGTTGTACGACTCAAGGGATCGCTCACGTGACAACATTCCGATGCGAGCGGCGACAATGTGCCGACGACGGCCGCGATGGATCGAAGACGACGATGCGGCGACACCGCATGGCAGGATGCACAAGATGGGGAAAGTGTGTCTATCTACAAGAAGGAGGAACCTTGATTACATGGATGCGACTTGAGGTTCCGCCTGGTCGACGCTGCTTGAGTGCGTGACCTTGACCACGTACGGCGTCTTCTTGGACGCCACGTGCGACGGCTTCCCGACCAGACCAAGGTCCGCAAACAACGCGTTGTCCTTCTCGAACGCAGGGTTTGCCGTTGTGAGCAACGTGTCGCCGTTGAAGATGGAGTTGGCGCCGGCCATGAAGAGCAAACCTTGTTCCGCGTCCGAGAACGACATGCGCCCCGCACTCAATCGCACCATTGTCTTGGGCATTAAGATTCGAGCTGTCGCAATAGCACGAGCCATGTCGAACGCCGTGACGGGCGGCAATTCTTCCGACGCGAGCGGCGTCCCGGCGACAGACACTATAAACAATTCATGAGATCATGAAGCGAGAACGTGGCAGTGGAGGACAACGACTGACCCAAAGCATTCACAGGGACCGATTCAGGGTGTTCTTCCATCGTCGCCAGCGTATGCAGCAGCGCGATGCGGTCGTGTTCCTTTTCGCCGATCCCCAAAATACCACCACAGCACACAGAAATGCCAGCCTTTCGGACATTCGCAATCGTGTTCAACCGGTCGTCGTACGTGCGTGTGGAGATGACCTATGCATACAAGTCATGGATTAGCACCTCTTTAGACGAGAAATGCACCAGGTGAGGAATAGTCTTACGTTGGGGTAATGTTCACGGCTCGTGTCCAAGTTGTGGTTGTACGCGGCCAAACCCGCTTCTTTGAGTTGCACCGCTTGCTCCTCTGTCAGCATACCCAAAGTACAGCACACTTCCATGCCCATGTTGTTGACTTCGCGGACCATAGTCAACACATCGTTGAACGCGTTCTTCTTGCCGACTTCGCGCCACGCCGAGCCCATGCAAAAGCGGGTGCTGCCAGCCTTCTTGGCGCGCGCCGCCATTTCAAGCACCTCGTCCACCTTCTTTCGGGGCTCTGGTTTGACGAATGTCTTGTGCTTGACGGATTGCGAGCAATATTTGCAATCTTCTGTGCAACCACCTGTCTTGATCGACAGGAGCGTGCACTGTTGGACTTCACGTGGGTCGAAGTGAATGCGATGAACCGTGGCAGCTTGGTACACCAGTTCCAACAGCGGTTGTTCGTAAATACGCTTGACTTCGTCGCGCGTCCAATCCTAGGTGCGCGTCAAATCAGTTCGCACATCCCCTCCTCGGTCACGACGAAGTGAAGGTTGTCATACAGTGCGGACTTCAGAAGACACGCCATTCAACGACAAAGATGCCGTGGACGCAGCTCGGAATGCAGCTTGCGGCCGGAGCAGCGCGCGAGTGACTTGGCGGGCGAGCATGTGTGTGGGGGCCGACGGAAGTTTTGAAGTGGCACGTGTGAATGAGCTGTGGATGACAAAATGTTGAGGTGGTAGAGTTCATAGAACGCAAAAGTTAAACTAAAATTATATCGGTTTTAGTGAATGATGTGGGTGCTATACATATTTGAAGTGAAATACATGCCACGGGCTTGCTCTGTCCATGAGGGTTTTATGTACCTATGCCGGGTCCCTGCGCTATGATTGGCCAGTGTCGATTGAACACTGTGCTGACGCAGGGTGGGAGGCCGGTGCTGGGAGATTTATTTAATTGTTAGCACATTTGTATGGGATTTGTATCTCGGGTGAAACAAAATAGCTGCTCATGTTGTGAGTCGGGCCTTGAACACTGGCCGCACCTTGAGCGCGGCGGCGGACACCTTCCAAGCACACAAGGCCAAAGCGCACATATTTATACTACCAACGCCGGAGCTCCGTGTGGTCCACGATCGTGGAGGCCGACCATGTCAATCGCACGCTTCCTTGGCGAGCGACAGGGCCATTCGTCTCGCCAGGAAAAAGCCTATGTCTCGACTACATGCGTTGTATATGCATTTATTCCGTGCTGAAAGGACAAATGGCCCCTCCATGGAGAGCGCAAGCCAGAATGAAGATTGCGCATGCAACATTGCGTTCTACTTCGGCGTACATGTCGATTTCAAGCCCAACGCATGATACCACGTCCAGAACGAGCTATTTGGACCATATACCTTGTCATTGCCATGCCTACGTATATGAGGCACTCGATGCACGTGCTGCCCCCTCACACGTTGGACGAGGACGCGCTTCCTTCGTCAGACGAGAAGGGGACGTGCGGGCTGATTGATTACCACGACTAAAAAGCTCACCCCGATATCGAGCAAACATTATCCGAATAATCCGGATAATCTTCAACTACCGCCATTCAACATGGCCACCATGGAGGTAAACGCTGACTGCGTCGGTATCGGTGCGTTCTGCAGCCAGCACAAGGATGGCTTCAGTGGCGTGATCAAGTCGGCGTACGACGGAATTTTTGTTATGGCATGCGCAAAGATCCTGCTTGCCATAGACCAGAAGACTTTCAAGTCCAGGAAGTGAGTGAGGACGGCGACATCGCGCAGTTGGATAAAGCCGAGAAGACTGGCGCGATGTTAATTGCTCCGTCAACCCAAGAAAAAGTGAAACGTGAGAATTTGGACATTTGCGAACCAAACGAAGGATGGAACGCCTTCCTGGAGGTGTCTCTCGGGACTGAAGTTGTGCAGCGAATCGCTGGTATCGTGCTGGAGTCCATCGAAGTCGTCGACGTGCCGGCGCCAGCCCACCTCAACGACAAAGTTCGCTTGCTCCACGCCATCCAGGTATCTGTCCTCGTGACCGCTCGTCTTGATCGTTTGATGTGGACAGCACTGTTATCCCGGTGTGCAGAGCAACAACGGCAAGGACGACGACACCGGTCATACCATCCTCAAGCTGTCTCTCGATCCAGTGTACCAAAAACTGCGCCACGGGGGCGTGGATGAGGACGATTCAAATGTTATTCTCGCGTTCCTCCTCCGGGGGCCACTGGATACAGGCGCAGATGCTGGTACCAGTCGTCGAGATGGATGCGGCGCTCAAACGCTGTTGATGCGAAGGTGTCGCGCTCAAAGGGAATCGAACAAAAGACCAGCGCACATTGATCCATCGTGTTGTGGCATCGGCCACCAACTGTTTGGTCACGAAATCGTCCGACCACGGCGGTGTCCACGTCTACTTTTCGCCAAAGACCCTCCGGCGAAAGCGCAAGCATGACACGTATCTCCAGTTTGTCCTAAAAAAGGCAAGTTTTTTTCCACATGGGGATGCACATCCCAACACACACTGCCGCCACAGACGAACGTGGACCATTTCACGGCGCTGGATATCCTCGCCCGCACGTGCCACGCGGCCGTGTCCGACTTCAGCGTCGCTGGCACCAAGGACAAGCGCGCTGTGACGTTTCAGCAAGTCGTAGTCAAGAATGTGTCCCATGACACTCTCTGGAAGGCCCAGGACACTCTAGCTGCCGAAGGATTGCATGTGGGCGGGCTGCGGTATGTGGAGAGGCCACTGGTACGGCGTTGTGGGCATCTCGACGAGTATTTTTGAACGAACATGCCGGTGTAGTCGCTCGGTCAGTCGTCGGGCAATCGGTATCTCCCTTCTCCCACCTCGACACGATGAATGAGACTCCATGAAGGTTCACCATTCGCATCCGAGACGTCCATGCAGCGCCCCAAGTTGTCCAAGCGGCCATGGCAAGCGTGACGGACGGCGGTGTCATCAACTACTTTGGCTATCAACGGGTTGGTGATCCGACCACCGTCCCGACGCGGGCACACCACATCGGGCACGCCATGCTGCGGCATGATTGGGAACGTGCATTCCGCCTGCTCTTTTCACAGACCCAAGCGCATGATTTGAATGTACCCGCACTTTCCACCGCATCCATGATGGTTACATGACCCTTAGCTGGCCACCAAGCAAGCGTTCCTGGAATCGGGCAACCTTTCGCAAGCCATCAAGGACTTGCCCCACAAGTGTGTATCCGAGCGCGCGGCGTTGATGGTGCGTCGGCTGCTTGCTTCATCATTGGGTGGCGCGGGATTGAGCGTTCTGGAATCTGCAGGGACTCAAGCGCCATGGCGCCACCGAGTACAAGAAAGCCATGCTGCAGATCCCATACCACCGCCGAGTCATGTACCTCCATGCGTACCAAAGCGTGTTGTTCAATCGCATGGCCACCTACCGACTTAACACGCATGGCCGAAACGTGGTCAAGGGAGACTTGGTGCTTGATACAGCGACGAAATCCATTCGCGTCGTGGAGGAATACCCCGAACGAGAACATCTCGATGACGTTGTGCTGCCGCTCGTGGGCACCAAAGTTGTGTACCCCAACAACGACGTCGGCGACAAGTACATGGAGGTAAGTGCAAGCACCGGAGGTCTTCGTGACTGTCTGTATTCGTGTAGCTCCTGCGTGCCGAAGGGGTCGACCCCGCGACGTGGACCCAAGAGGCAACAGTTCGAGGCGCTTATCGGTCGTTGATCTGTCGCCCTTCGCACGTCGAATGGGACATGGGTGGGTTCTCCATCCCGTCGATCTATGTCGAGGGTCGAAGGATGCATGGTGTGATTTTGACATGTTGTAGTGGTCGACGCAGGCGTGGTGACGGTGTCCATGCATCTTCCACCTGGGTCCTTTGCCACGATATTCCTTCGAGAACTGATGAAAGAGCACCCTGCCGTGGCTACTGGCACTTTGGATGCTCATGGCACGCCGTCCGACGACGTTGATGGAAACCCCGAGTAGATAGGCTACCACGACAGGCCTATGCTAAGAATAGACTCGTTTGTCCTGCTTTTGACTGGACTTGAAAACTTCCTCATCTCACCCTCCTCGCATGAAGCGCGCCCTCCAACAGCACCAAGACGAGTCCACGTACGAAAGGCGGCCGCACCTGGTCATCTCCTTGGAGAGCCAACAGGTTGAGTTCACCCCGCGGACGACTGCAAAGCACCGGGACGAACTGGTGGCGCTACGGCAGCGCGTCCACGCGTTGGAAACGCTACTGGCTCAACAGCCCGACCATGACCCAGTGTTGAAGCCGCCCCACGCAACGAAGCTGCTGCCCCCACTAGCTGCAGCAGACCTCACAATGACCGTACGTACATGGAATTCATGCCCTTTGTCCGATACTTCGACTTCCCGTGGGCAACGTAGCTCTCCGCGAGCGCGTCACTGACGCAACTCCCACCACCGTCGCAAACCCAGCCAGCGTTTACGCTGCCCCGACAAGCGACCGCTCCGGGGCTTCTGCTCCAGCCTCTCGGTCCGACCTCAAACGGTCCAACCAAGGCAATGGCGGAATCGACCCACTGCGACCCGCGAATGTCGACAAAATTCATAGCTGACCAAGACGGGTCCCTCGTTGTCGCCGTATCAAAGCGCAGTCGTCTGTACGAGATCATTCAGCGTGTCTCCAACCGCGTTCGCATCAACGACGAGCAGGTGCGCCTTCATCCGCCTCACCCCATTCTCGAATGCATCGACGAGTGTGTTGGTTAGATTCTTCGCCTGAAGAAGATCGTCGACGCAGAGGTAAGGCTGTCATGGCATCACAGATGCCACTCACATCGTCGGCCCAGTTTGGCGACGTGATTGCTGTGCTGGAAGGTGTCGACGTGGAACCGGACGCAAGCGTTGTCACGGAGAAGCTGCATCACTTAATTCAGACGGGATCGCCGTCCAAGGTCGGACAAGGCATCCGACCGAGCTCCTCGTGACGAGGCTACCCGTAGCATTTCGCGCAGGGATCGCCGCCCAAGTTTCACGCGCCCGACGTCCCGTATCCCTTGATCAAGATAGCGCACGCGTTGTCCATGTTGACGGCAAACCAAGAAGTGGTCGTGCTCGTGTCGAGTGGGGCGTACAACCCTGTCCACATGCTCCACATCCGGGCTTTCTACGTTGCGCGTCAGGTGCGACAAACCGTTCAACGTCCTGGCGACGACATGTCCTTCTAGCACATCGAGTCGAATTATTCCTTTCCTGTCGTCGGAGGCATCATTTCGCCGTGCCACGACACTTACGGTGCTGTTGGCGTTCGCGGATCGTGGTGCCACCCACTAACTCGTTGACTATCGCAGTTCGGACCAAAAACCGGCGCAAGCCGAGGGAAATGATCCCAAAAGCCCATCGACTGGCCATGCTGGAGGCAGCGACAGCGTCGTCGACTTGGATTGAGGTGGACAAGTGGGAGGTTCCGTCCCGTCCGATCCGGCGTCATGCGCTCAGTTGAATGCACCTAGATCACACGACGTCGCGTGCTCGACTACCTGAGCACCCTCACCCATGTCCGGGAGGTGGCATCCTTGGCCCTTTCGCCACCACGGGCGGACTGACTGTCGGCGGTAGATCTGCGAGCACCAGTTCCCGCACTTCAAATTCCGCGTTCTTTACGTGTGCGGAGTCAATACGATCGTCAAGCTGAGCCACACTGCGCTGAAAGAGGAAGGGTTTGGTGTGATGGCTATTTGCCGACCCAACCAAACGGACATGCTGCACAAGCACCTCGGGGCCAAGTACGACGTCGACATGCGCCAGTCTCTCTCACCATGACGGATTAGGTGGAGTAAGACCGCGATTGTAGTCGAGGATACAGGTGTGCTCGCGTGCGAACTCGAGCGCGCGACGAGCTTTCGGGTGCGCCAGGCGCTGATCCAAGGCAACGTGGATGTCGCGCCCATGGTGGGGAAGAATGTGGACGAGTACATGCACCGCCATCGCATTGGCGACAAAGTTGCGGGCCGCGAGCCGTGGACGTCGGGGGATCGTCTGTGGCGGGCGCAGGATCTGCCCCACGTCGAATACATCGAGTCCGAATTGATCCAATGTCGCCACAACGACGCGGCAAGCTACGCTGACGACTGAACGATACGCCATCTCGTTATCGTGGAAGGGTTACACAGGGGCCGATGCAAAGAGGAACGGAAAATCAACCACTGTCCATCGCTCCATGCGTCGCTCGAACCGATGCCTCACAACATTGCGATCCATGGGGTCTGGGCTGCGAGTTTGTCTGTCGCTGCGAGTACACAAGCAAGTACGCTAGTCACAGACGCCCGGAGAAATGTTATTCGAAACGAATGCATCCCACGATACGTGACCATGATCGGATGAAGCCTTTCGGTGGAAGAGATCGCTCGTACCTTGAGCAGACGCCACGTCTTTCCACGTGCATTTGTGCACGCGGTGGTCGTTAAAGTGAAACCATCCTGCACCGCCCAGCGCGTTGTTTGCATATGCAGTGTAGTGCCCTTGCGTGAGTGTTCGCCCTTCGTGGACGATGGCGGCGTCCAGGTCGTACACCGTTGACGTTCGAGGAGGAGCGGCCATGATCATCGACAGGTCCAACCCTCGCTAAACAAAGCAAGCGGAGCGATGACCTCCCAACGACAAGGAGAAATCGACTCACCTCCGGAAACGCCACGTGCGTGGGAATTTTGTCGGGCTCGCCATCGGCTGTCCAGCCCGTGCGATTCACATGAAAGATGATCACGGGTGGAGCTGCCCCGAGTTGCGTGAGCTTGACAGCGTCTTGCTTGGCATCGCAATTCGAACAAAAGTACTGCGCGTCGCCTAGACTCGACGCGTCAACGTGGTTCATGCCAAGTGCTGGTACGTTGAAGGGACTCGGCAGCAAAGGTCGTGGCCAAGCAATCTGGAGAGAGGTCATCGAGATGACGAACATGCGAATTGTCGGAGACAACGCCATACCGATCATGGAGCAGTGTGCAGTGGCTACGCGCCGCCGGCGACCAGCATGGACGCGATGAGGAGTAGGGATGTCCACGGAGAGCACACCTGACGTAGAGTTAGTCGATGCCAGTCAATGACGCATGCTTTACCAAGGAACATCTCGTTCGTCGACGACTCATGCATGCATCGATTGCATGTTATCTACGCGCTCAGAGTTGATTGCATAACTGTTAGCTCCATTACCGTGCGAACGACAACCCCTTCAAAAAGAGCGTCGACGAAACATCGCGCGAGGGGCGGGTCGACAACCGATGCAGCGCCCGATCGCATCGAGTCGAGGAGATGTCGGAGAAGCTCGTCGCAGTCCTATAGAGAGAACGCCATCTTGTCCATTCACACAATGGAGCATGATGTTAACACACTTGCTGCTTGAAACCAGCCAGCGTGGGAAAAGTTTGCCACACCACCGCTAGTATCGCGTCGGGGGAAAGAGCAGCGTACTTGCCACTCCACAGCCGCTGCATTACGTGCTTGAGCTCCCATAGGAGGGCTCTATAGGACTCGCATGACCAAGGACGAATCGATACCGTGTGATACCCTGGCGGCCCAACCGTCGATGCCGACATCACCGCGTTCTTGAGCAAAGTGACGTGGCTAGATTCAAGGTTTGCATGTGCCCTAAGTTAAAATGTTCCAGCACCTGAGCGATTGCAAGGCAGCGTTCATGTAGCACGTGTTGCCGAGATTGCGCAGACCAGTGTTGCCAGGATAGAGCGCATTCAAGCGTCGAGATGGCTTCGCCATGGTTCGGAACTTGGTGGTCCAAATGTCCTGCGACAACCTAGTCAAGTGACCTCTGCGTTGGGCACAGCCTACCTTCCACGATGCAAAACACTTGAACAGTATCAGGTTTCTCCATCTGTATGACGCCGTGTAGAGAAGATCGTCGCGTTTCCGACGGGCTGCCGCTTGCTTGGACAGGTACGCTGCATGGAACGTGAACCCGTGGACATTGTTGACCTTTCGCCACTTGGCCGCCGGAGATCGTGCGCCGGACGGTGTCTGAAGAAGATTATAAGAAAAATGCACCACCCCGACGATAGCGAAAACAACCTGCCGCGTCACTCGTGCCACCTCCAGGTCTTGGCTGAGAAGTCGACGTATCAAGTAAATTTCGCCCCGAGCGTTGTCCATATTCGAGGGCAACGCCGCCGCTGCATCAAAACTGCAGCAGAGCCATCAGAACGTCTCGTCTGCTATCGCACGAGGATGTGTTTTTACCAGTATACCTTATGGCCCGCCTCGTTCAGCTCCATGTACAGGACATGCTAAAGGAAGTCCACATCCCATTTGAAGACGGTTTCCAGTCGACTATTAGAGACCTCGGCGGAGATGGCGTGATGTCTCATGTGCGTGTTGCTGTCGCCGTCGTTGGTTGCAGTAAAAGTGTCATGGCAAACAAAGTTGCCGCAGAACAAGCACAGCCAGAGACACGTGGTCGTGTCACATTCGCAGCATGCCCACTTGGATGGGTCCATGATGGCAGGTTCGACAGCGGCAAGATGTATCGAGGCGAGTGCATGTTGCGTGTGCTCTTCAACTGCGAGCAGTGCCGCTTGTTGTTTACTCCGCGTACGCATCGAGATGGTGGCCGATGGTGGCAGTGTCCGTTCAAGATACGACCGTTTCGCGTATGTTCAACTGTCACAGGGCCATGGACCTTCCTAAGTAGGCATGTCCTCCTAGAGCCGATACATTCAGGCACTAGGTGTGCTTCCTTTCCACCTTCATCCTCACCATCGCGAAGAGAGCTCCATGGCGCGCCCACTGCGTTGGCTTGGTCACGAACCATTTCTTCGCCACTCGTGGAATTTTAGAAGTTGAAGCTCGTCATGCGAGGAATTCGACCAATCAACGGTCGCGACTGTGAAGACGCGACATCTCGAGAAAAATTCTCGCTCTTTTATACTTCGAAGTACGTCGAGAAGTGTACATATATAAATTCAAAGTAGTTGGATCTGGCAGAAAAAAATTGGGCATCGAGCAAATGTTTTTTGGCCAGGGTTGTGAAAAAAGGTTTCTGGGAATCGTTGGGGTGTTTCTTGTGTTCTTTTGGGTGAAGCAGTTGAGCATTTGGCGAGAACGGAGCAGAACGGCAAACCATGGGCAACAACTCCTCGCGAGGCCGAAGCAGCAGTGCGGGCGGTACCAGCAGCATCAGTTGCGCCAATGGCCCCGCGAGAGTCTCTGCATCCAAGATAGTGTTGCTTTCCACGGCCAAGTCCAGTCCAACTTACGATGGGGACAACTTTACTCGACCAACGGGGTAACATATGACAGATACGTTGGACCAAGGGCTCCCGAGCTAACGACGATGCATGTGATGTAGCTTGTACAAATCCTGCAGCTGGGAGCACAAAGCGGTGCGGAGATTGGTGCTGGAGCGCAAGATTGCACCACGGTACCCTGGCAGCGACGCTGCTACCGCCAACTCGTACGAGTGCCCGATCTGTTTTTTGGTATGTTTTGCTCGTCCATGCTCATGGCCACCCTAACGAACTTGTATGCAGTATTACCCCAGCACGTTGAACCAGAGTAGTTGCTGCAAAGAAGCGATCTGCACGGAGTGCTTGCTCCAGACCAAACCACCAGGGAAACGCGTGTGGTATGCCATTCGATGTGAATGCCGCGTCATGTACACTTTGGTAGCTGTCCTTTTTGCCATTCGGACAACTTCCGAACGAATTTCACGGTGGGGTCCACGGGGACGTTGAAGTCTATCCTGCGATCGGACTCGGATTGCACGGAGGTCAGCAGCCCAGAAGCATCCATACTGCACGACGATGACATCGAAGTCCCTTTTGCGTCCGTGGCCGACAGGAAGAAACTCCAAGACGAACTGTCAGCCCAAGTAGGCATCGCGCGCGCCTCGTCCATGCCAAACCATCGCTCGACAACTTTCACAGCGTTTCTGTCGGGAGGCGACTCGGATGTCTCGACATCATGCTTGGAGGACATGATGCTCTTGGAGGCGATTCGCAGATCCATGGCGGATTGCGCTATGCAACCTCCAAAACGGCACGACCAAAGACAAACCATCGCACATGGCAGCCGCAACTTGACTCCGTCCGCCGCGCCGTCGGCAGCCAGTTGAATGTTCCCATGCTGTGATTCGTGTGATAACATGTGCATATTTATGACATGCAACTATTTGTGCGAATGCAAACGTGCATGCACAACTCGCATCCATCCGACGCCGTCGTAGCATTTGTCCAAATCTCCATGGCGGAGCACCGTCAACTCGAGCAACTGAAGCCCCCGCGCAAACATCCCTTCGAATCCCTCGAGCGCATCGCATGCATGCAGTGATCGAAACCGGGGTAGCTCCAAGCTTGTGGGATCCGTCCCACCCATACGATTCCCCATTCTTTTCTCCGGCTTCGTCGCATGAACGACGTCGTCCCGCGTGAGCGAACCACTAGTGTTAGTGAAAGAACTGAACTGCGCAACGTGTAAGTCCGTGCTACCGCTTGCCTCGTCCATTGCGTTTTGGGGTGCATCCTTGAATGAAATGGTTCCGGCGATGGCAGAATACGATGCGATCGCTCGGTGGAAGTCGGACCAAAAGACATTGCTTCGGTGCAACTTGTTGTGAGAAGAGCATGCCAGGAACCACTCACGCTTGGTCGGGCAACTACCAACTTGTCCAGTTCCACTGCAACCATCACCCCAAACCGCGCAATGGCAGTCCATCTTGTCACAGCGTTCCGATATAAGCAGAATGGGTACAAGTCAGCGCCGCCATCAGTTGTGCCCCGCAGTCACTTGCGTTGATCACCGTGTTTCATCCTTGACCACGACCGAACAAGCGTGCCATCATTTCAGAGTAGCGGATGAGCCAGCTGACACAACGAATGTGACTCCCGATGATTCCCGTCGGCATAACATCCACCAACGCTGGCGTTCGCAGCGATAGGGTGCATGCGGAGCTCACTTTCAAGCTGTATGGAGGAGCTTCGCTCCAGATACGTGCCGCGGCACTTCGAATTGGACTTGCCATCGTGACTGAAACTTGCTCTGGGCGGGGTTGCGAGGGACAACCGGAGTATCCGGAAACAGGCTGCGTCATGGCAAACGTTGTGCCGAGATACCGCCAGAGAAATCCACGCCATGGGCCTCGGGAAGGAGCCGGCCAAGCCAAGGCGTATACAGTGAACGAAGAGTCTCGGTACATCCTCGTGCGCAACATTCCTGCGCTGGGTGCGACCGAAGAGTTGCTTCAACGACTCGGAGAGTTTGGGCGAGTCGAACGCCACCGCCTCGAAGACGACCACGACGACGCGTCCGAGTACATCGATGTGCTGTGGGTACAATTCGATACGGTGACTGCTTCGCGTCGCGCAAAGGCACTGGCGGTGAAAAATCCTTTCTACGGCAGTGTCTTGCAGATATCTTATCTCCCACAGGATGAACAACCTACCGACACCCGATCGAAACTCGACGAGCGACGGAAACTGCTGCAGGACCGGTATCGAGCACATCAACGGCGCCACGCCATGCCCGACATCATTGGACCTCTCCTACCACAAACCCAACCACGCCATCAAGCCCTCCCGCCACCAGATACCCATACAAGTCGTCAATTCTCGCTCGCTTCATCCAGCGCAGAGGCAGATCCTTCTCCGCTTCCTCAAGTGCCCCCGTCCCACAACAAAAGGCGACGAATATAGTTAGAGTTATATGTACTTCTGCTCTTATTTACGACACCACGACTGTGTGCTGAAACTGGCGGCGCATGGCTCGCACGAACGCCGACAAGTCACCCGTGCTGTTTAGCTGTTCCACCAAGTTGCCCAGTGACGGGATGGCTGGTGAGCTCGAGTCCACTATGAAAAGCCGTCACTGTTGAGAGCGATGCACACTTGAAAGGATGCCAGTCGAAAGGATTTACCAGCAAACAAGTCATTGTCAGGTCGAACTCGCAGGGAGAACGAGAACTCGCGACGGGGAGCGTTTGGATCGATGTGTGTGAATACGAAAGAAATATTTTTGTCTGAAGGCAATGCGGCGTGAGGCATTTGGGTCGAGATAGAACGTGGTTCCTACCTCCTTTCGCGTCGATGACGAGCCCAAGCTTCTGGTACATGTCGATACACTTGAGAAGCTCAGCAACACAAAGTGAATGTGTTTGGGCGGCTTGTGACGCCTCTAGAATCATGCATCCAGCGCGTGAGAAATCATGAAGAGCGATTGCTGTTTTGATGGTTTCGGGATGTGTTTCGATTCTCGTACCAAGTGACAAGGTGGAGAGTTTGTTATCATGGGCCGCTTTTTGTTCTCGCAAGCCCAGTACAACAGGCTCCGACGTCGACAATTCTGCTTGAAGGTGACGTACTTCGCTCTGACTGCTCTGTATGGCTCGTAAGTTCTCAGTCCTCGCTGCTTCTCGAGATGACGACGCCACAGCAAGTTGCTCTTTCTTCGCGACAAGATTCTGGAGTTGCTGACGGTCCTTCTCCATCTCAACCGCGCATATCTGCTTGGTTTCTTCGAGAGACGACTTCTCGTTTTCCACCCACGTGGATACCTTCCTTGCCGCGGCGGCCAAGTGCGCCTCCAGAGTGTCGGCCATCTTCCAAATTCAAATGTTTTGCTACGTTCAAAAAAAAGGTGGTGTATGGTATTAATACTATCGATTTTTAACGATTCAGCCATGTTTTTTTGTCGATTTCAACCAATTCACGAAAATTTTCAAGATTTTGAGTGAAACGTGTGATTGGCCAATATCATGGGTTTATGGCCAATCCATTGTATCCAAACGCAAACTTTCAAGAGAGGTGATCAAGCCGCCGGAATGCCGACGCTGCTCCAGCTTGCTTCGAAGGCAGAGGTTGCTCCGCCCACAGGAGATCATGGTTTTGACGAAGTTAATGTAGATTGAATTCCACGCCTTGACCCGGTCCAAGGAACCGCTTCGTCAATTGAAGCAATTGCACGAAGACCTGCTGACTCAATGCGACAAGGACCAGGTGTTCAACTTGCTGGAAGTGGCGACGCAAAAGCTAGTCGAAAAGCTGTCATGGGCTCTCCACAATGACAACAGCATGACTCCAGCCAGCGTTGGAATTCCTGAGCTGCTCGACTTGTGCATTGCAGGCGCGACGGACAACATCCTGCTTAACCATGCGCCGTACAAGATCCTCGAGGACCTCATGGACGGCCAAACGATTGTAACTTGTGAAAAGCTATGGGAATTGCTTGAAACGCGCAAGGGGCAATTGACTGCGGTAGGCGTCGACCTCGTGCTCGTGCAAACGTGAGACGTGTCTAGGCAAACTTCATCCCTCCGTACGACGGCAAATCTGCCAAGACTACCAAAGCGTCACTTTGTCTCCTTCGGCTCTCCAACACACTCCTGCGCCGCCTGTCTAAGACACACAACACTGTCTTTTGCGGCCGCATTCTGACCTTTCTCTCCTTCGCATTCGCTCTATCGGAACGCTCTGCGTTGAACGTCACAGGTCGGGTACGTCGTCACATGCTCCCCGTGACCTCCATATCTCAATCCTGAACAGTCCAACGTGAGCAACGTGACAGTATTTGAAGATGAAATTACTTTCCTGGAAAACGTACGATGCATAGAGATCCCCGTCGACAGGCCATCGTGTTCCCGTCAAACTTGTAGACGCCAAGCGACGACACGAGCGACGGCGCCAAGGCAGCAGATTACGCCTTGTATAAGACGTTCTGGGCAATCCAGCGGTATTTTCGCCAGCCGAATTTGGCGACCGAGCGGGACACGGAGTGGGCGACTTTTGTATGTATCGATGTTGCTGCGGAAACGCAGTTTACGTGGCCGTGTAGACGACCGAGCTGAATGCGGTGCTCGGCGCATTTGAAAGCCATTCGTTCAGCCCGAAAGACCTCGATCCTACTCGCGACGATAATGCAGTGTCCGTGGGCAAGGACGAGAACGGGCCGTCCGGGTTCTTCCAGACAAAGTACTTGACGAACAGCCGCCTCTTTCACTTGCAACTGCGCGATCCTGTCCTGCGGGAGTGCATGCTGACGCAGGTAACGCGTCAAGGCAACTTGTGTCGCTCAGGAAGTCGAACAAGTAGTTTCTTATCTTTTTCCGCCACCTGGAAACCACCAAACTCCCGCCGACAGCGACGGTGGTATGGCATGGCATCCAACTCAACCCATGGTCTCAACATGTGCGTGCGGTAGAGCCAAGTGAAGGCGTTGACGTCCCGCGTGTTGAGTTTGCTCAAGAAGACCCCGTCCGACGGCAAACGATTCAGTGAAATGCTTGTCCAAGTGCTCGATCGAGAAAACAACTGGACGCAGTGGAAGCAGGACAAGTGCAAGCCGTACGAGCGGTTCCCAGACGACCAAGCGCCGGTGGAACCGTCCGCTGCACCCGTGGAACCGCCCGTGAAGAAGCGCAAACAGTCGATGACGGATCCGCTGTTGGAGTCACTTGTTCACGAAGACACCGAGTCACTGCTGTCAAAGATCCAAGGCCCAAGTCGAAGTACGCTGCGCATGAGAGATTACACGATTGCGCGTGAAAACATTTACGTGGTGTAGAAACGGAAGTGCCAGTCGAAGAGTTTGTCCAGCGATTTGAAGAAGCCCGCGACCCGGAAAACGGCATCGAGCGAGAGTACTGGCCCGACAATGACAAGGTCTATCGGACGGTCTGTCGTTCAATCTGACCCCTTGGCCTTAGATGGTGTGCTGGCGCACCATGCGCGGGTGCATGCGCACAAAGCTCAACTTCATGGACAAAATCATTCAAGGCACGGGAACCATGGTTGAAGCCATCTTAGGGGTGCACCAAGGTGATGTGATTCCTGCCAGCTCGCCGGCGCCGTCGAATTCAGACGAACCAGCCACTGCCCCTGCGAGTCCTGTTGAAGCCCCGGACACTGTGGACGAGCCCGCCAAGGAGTCCCCCGAGGTCGCCAAGTCATTTCCAGCCAAGTTTTGATCGATTATGCTTGTAGGGTGAAGAGGAAACCGAATAAGTCGAACGTAAATTAAACTCAGCTTTCGCGACATCAAGTTGTTTGTGATATCGATAGCGTTGGCGGACAAAAGGATGGAAAAATAAGTTAAGGTTCGCGCGAGCGACTAGAGATGATGCGAAATCGAGGGGACTGAACCGTACCGATGCATTGAAATGGCGCGGCCGAGTCCCGCTCGCAGGTAAAGAAAACGACCTCAATGCAGTGGGTCATGGTTTTGTGAAGGGTGGCGCCGTGGAACCCATAGTGCCACGACAGGGATCGGCCGGATGGCCGAATCTCGAACAGCATTGGGCTCACGCACTTGGTCTGGAACCAAATCGCCTTGGGATTCTCCTTAGACCGGAGCTCTCGGTAGATGCTGGCTTGAGGAACTACCATCCCGGGCGAGTACTCTTCGCATGGCTCGAGGAAGTTGCGGAAGCGCGCAAATGCGGTGATCGTCGCGTGTGCCAGCGACGTGGGCATCGAGTGGTCTGGATGGAACTGTACTCTCAAGTTGGTCCCGCAGAAGCTCGTCGTCGAGTGGTGTCCGCGCTTGCAGTTGGGAAAGCACCTGCCACGTCAGGGTCAATGGAGGGAAAGGATGGACAGTCGAGAGAGGTCTTACCGGAGATTACGGATCCCGCCCTTCTTGTTGTTGCGTGAGTAGAGCGTCTTAAACTGTTGGGGACACCCGTGTTCATCGACGAAGGTGGCGATCTCCATTGGGGCGAGTTGCTGGGTCGAGAACGAGTGAGTTGAGAAGTCCTCCATGCAATGCGATGTGGGCATTCGATGGACGACTTCGTGGTGCTGCGGGGGCGACGAAACGAGCGGTGCGAGTGAGGGGAGCGGCGGCAGCACGACATAGTCGTCGGATGATGTCCAGAGCTCTTCGAGCAAGTCGACGGCGGTTGGCGATTGAGTGCGCTTCAACGGAGACGTCGCGTCGAACGGGGGAGAAGGCTCGTTCAGTTTATCGAATTCAACCCACATGAGGTCGTCGCCGCACTCTTCCAAGAGCAAATCGTCGCAGGAGACCGACGTGGCGGGTGGTGTCGAGACTAGCCGACGGGGCGGGAGAGCTGGTGGGTTGAATGGGGGGCCAAGACAACGCTGAACGCAGACTTTTGCACGCACAACGCGGGACAACCGAGTTTGATTTGGCCATTGCGCCCACAGCAGAGCCACGCAATCAGGTTGTGCACCCTGTCGACGTGGACAACAACGGCACACAGCGCGTGGCTGTTAGCGTTTCGGACGGCGGTCGATTCGTTCAGGTGGACGCGGGTGTATCCACCGTACACAGTTTGGACTTCGGTGGTGGTATCGCGCAGCAGAGCTTTGAATGCTTCGAGGTGCTGCCACGACACCATGTGCGTCATCACGAGCTGGACTGGTCGGTGTCCGTCACGGTCTGGTAAGATCGCGTGATGCGCCAAGAGGTCGCGGGCTAGCCTTGACTGGGCATGCTGTTGAGCTGGATTGAGGATTCCCACAGCGTAACAGCCTAGACAAACCCACTCGGTGGGTGCGATCGGGTGCAGTGACTCAGGCGCGGGTCCGAGCGACTCCTGCGCGTATTCAAGGGAGACTGCGACATGCAGGTTGACATCTGGGTCAAAGTCGAAGAGGGCAGGCGACGACGGCATCACAATGTCGTCGCCGCTGCTGCACGAGCTAGTACCATCGTCCAAATCGCGGCTCATCTTCGAATGGTCACATGCGGTGGCTTTTGCCAACGTGGAAACGCTTTGCGTCGGGGGGGCGTCGAATTTGGAAGGACACGAACCTCGGTTACGATGGCGTACGTGCATACTTTATGTACGTTGTAACAGTGCATAGATTAGTAAAGTTGGTTCGATTCCATGTACTGTACGAGCAGTACATTCGAATGTTATGGTGTAGGTGACTGAGACGTGGAGTATAGTCAATCCAAGGCATTGCACGCAATCCGAAAACCGTGACTTTTCGGGGTGGTCGACGGTTACAGAGTCAACGACATCAACCGTTACAGAGTAATTTCTACATCCACCATGCTGTAGCTGCCAGAGTTGCGCCGCGGCTTGGACACCTTGAGCCGGCCTTCGGGCATCTGCTCCTCCCGCAGCGAGTCGGACGTTCGTCGCGTCGTCGTGTTGCCTAAGCAGCACATCCACCGCAACCACGTTGACGTGAAGATGTGCCGCAGGCACGTGTACCCGTCCGAGTTCATTTCACCCTCGATGTCGCTGACGGTGCGCATGCGATCGCCGGCAGCTCGTCGAGCCAGACCCACGTCCGTGAGCGCGATGTCTCCAAGAAGCATCCACCGATCCACGACCGCGTGGTGGGTTACCCACCCGCCGGCCGTACGTGTCAATGGGACGGGCACAGCGCCGCCTCGAGACGCCATGAGTTTCATGACTTCCTGTCGACATACAAGGTAGAGGCCGGAACTTGCCAGAACCCAACCTGTGAAGAGGAGAAGCGACGGAACATCCATTTCGGACGTCGTTGTGGCAGGGCCAGCTTGCGCTTCCATGTGCTGCACGAGCATCACTTGGCCAATCGTGACAGCGACGAGTGCGACGGTGTAAAGCGCTGTGGCGCGAACTTGGGTCTGATTGAGCTTGTAGAGACCGGCCGCTTGCATGTACAGCACAACGACGAGCGAGCCGAAAAGCAGGAGCTGTAACACGAAGAGCGGGGCAAACACACCAACCCAGGGGAGGCCTGAAGCGTCAGGTGCATTTGTCGCTGCAACGCCGGAATTATGGGCCAGCAGGAGGGTAAACACAAAGAGCAAGATCCATGCGATACCCTGAACAAAGGAATGTGAGAAGGGTGATGGAGATGAGGGAGGCGATGGTGGAATGACCGTACAGGTAGGGTGGTTCGCGACTTGCAGAGGAGGTAGCGCACGACGTAGCCGACCTCGATGATCATGATGGGAGCATACGCAACATACACGCTAACGTTGGACGAGTTGTTGAGGATGGCACAGAATGCGATTTCGGCCCAAAAGAGGAGGATGCAGAGAGGCAAACTGACTGCATACAGCAACAAGATCTTGCGCAGCAGAGGGAGGAGTGGCTCATTCGATACCGTGTCTGTTTCGGCCCAGTGACGTAGTTCTGTTGCTGCGCGGATCGAGAGGACGTGCGCACCCACCATGACGAGATTGCCGACCCAAAACGGCGAGAACACGGCCCACCAGTTCCAATGACGGGCTGGGCCAAGCACATTGTCAGCGTTCAGAGCGACGAGACCGAACCCAAGAAACATACACATGACGTAAATCATCACGCCGTTGAGCAGGACAGCGAGGGATTTCTCTGCAAACACAATCGGCCGAAAACGACGCATGGTGTTGCCATCCGTGTTGGCCGAGACAGGGGACGAGAACGAAGCGTTCGCGGGTCGGATGGAGTGATACATGGTTTCCTCGTGATACGAGTTCCGCATAGCCCTAAGAAGCGGGGACCGCTCGCCGCTGTCGTTATCGTCGCTGGACCTGTCGGTGCTCGTGCTGTTCGTGCGGCGGTCGCCACGCATTGTTCAAATCTGGAACGGGCAAACATCTCGAATTGTATTGCGATTCCTAATTTTATGCTAAAATTTTTATCAAGTTGTCATGAATTTTTATAAATTTGGTCCACCACCCAATGCAAGGTTTCACGCAACTGCCATCAGTTCCACAATCATCCTCTCGGAACGATGCTCAGGACGTTGGCCGTAATGATCGCGGCTGCCACGGCGGCCAGCGTAACATTCGTCATTCTACGGGAAATACTCGTCCCTGGGAACCATGAACCTAAACAAAGCAAGCAGGAACGACGGCAAGAGCGCAACGAACGTCGACGGGCACGCATGGACGCGCGCAAGAAGCAAAAGCAGATGCAGGTGAAAGCCGAACGACAGCATCGATGGGAAGTCGAAACGGCACTGCATCCCATTGACCAAGAGGAAAAACAACGTTTGTACGATGCGAAGATTGCCGCAAAGAAGCAGCAGCAACAGGAGCTCGAGGTACTGTTATCTCCTCCGATGCGTGTTGACCATTCTCGCAGGATCGCTTGAATACGGCCATGGCTATCGGACTACGAGTGGTCGTGGACCTCGACTTCTTGAATCACCAGACGCTTCGGGTATTCCACTTAGTTGACGCGAGGTTGTTGGGTCATGGGGGGCACGTAACCTAGGAGCGAAATAGCGTGTTCAAGCAAGTGGCGACTGCTTACGGCACCATGAAGAAATGTTCATTTCCGAATCTCTTGTCCCTACATCTAGCATCGTACAGAGGAGACGTCGCGGCATTTTGCGACCAACGCGGCGCGCGAGCATGGAAGGTACTCCTGTGCATGGCATGCAATTCGTTGCCTCACACGTCCCGCATTCAGGTCTCTCGACACGAACAGCCTCTCTTCGAACTCTTCCCGAACGACACCGTCATCTTCCTATCCCCCGATGCGCCGACCGTGCTGACTGAATTGGACCCGAATGCCGTGTATGTCATCGGAGGAATTGTCGACCGGACTGTTCGAAAGGTTCGTGTCGATAACAATGCTGCACCTCATGGACGCAAACGTAGAGCCAAACGCTGGCGAAGGCGACGGCGTCTGCCATCCGCACCGCTCGGTTGCCAGTGCAAGAGCACCTCCGTGTCAAGTCGCACGTGCTCAACATCGATACCGTCCTGCTCATCCTTCTCGAAGTCCACAACCATGGCGACTGGAACCGAGCGTTCGATGCAGTATTACCCAAACGTTTTCGACGGCCTGAGTGATAATATCGGCCTCGCCGCGCACATTGACGCCATCGCGAGCTACAGTCTCCCTCACGTGCAACCATGCTCGAGAGAGAATTGCCTGGTTCTCCAAGGCCTCGTCGTGGAGACGGTGCTTTTAGTACGTTTAGGTTCCTATCCTACGACTGGCGAACCGTGTCATTGTCTTGAAGAGTTTCTGGAGCTGCCATGCCCTCGCCACGTTGTGCGACCACTTTTGTCGTCGATCTTTCCACTTGAGCTCGCCTTTCAACAGTTTGTATGTCGACCACTGGCCATGGGCTTTGGCTTCTTCGACTCCAATGCACAAGACGCTCCTCGTCGGCCACTCGACAGGACATTCGCAATTGTGCACGCACATTTGTCCTTGGTGCGCCAACACACGTTGAACCACGTCGTCGTGGCCTGCCGAAGCAGCGGCTGCCATTGCTTGCTTCACACACCCTTCCGTGCGAAACATGAGGAGAAAGTCGACAATGTCGCCGTGACCATTCGCCGCCGCCAATGCCAACGCGTGTACCGTACATCCTTCGATTCGATTCCAATGCAGGAATTGCACCATGCTGGCATCGCCACGCTCGGCTGCCGAGTCCATTGCGGTTGCATGGCACCCTTCCCTTCGATTCAAGTGGAGAAAACGAACGACGTCCTTGTGTCCCCGCGCCGCAGCGGCTTCCATCGCACGTTTTGTGCATCCTTCCCGCCGATTCCGATGCAGGAATTCAACGACGTCGATGTGCCCATTCTCTGCTGCTCCATCCATTGCATCGACCGTGCACCCTTCTTCGCGGTGACGGTGCAGAAATTCAACGATACCCAAATGGCCATGCTTGGCGGCGTTGTCCATGGCCAAAGTGTCGCAAGTGGTCGCTCGATGCTGGTGCAAAAACTTGATAATGTCAAGATGGCCGTGCGTGGCGGCAAGCGTGAACACGTACGACGTAAATCCGTCGGGCGTGCGAGCGTCGTGGAATGCCTGAAGCACGGCTAAATGTCCATGTAGCGTGGCTTGTAAGACTGCTGGACCGTGATGGCTTGGATGGTGGTGCGCCAGTAAATACTTCACCGCATGGACTTGGCCGATGGAACTAGCATAGACAAGAAACGTGCCATGGGATGCTACGTCTGGACATACTCTGTACAGTTCACGAAGACCAGGGACATGGTGGCAATGAAACCAAACATGGAGCGTGTGCGTAGCGACAGCTCGCGCGCTTGGTGTAGCGCAGGTCGCGGACTGCAAGACACGGACTGCTGCAACAATCTCGAGCAGCTTGTGATGGATGCCGCCTTGGTAAGCGAGGATGCAGGGCAAGAGATCGTTGCTGAAGAGCGCGGAGAACGGCATCGGCGTGCCCATTCACTGGAAGGCTGAGGCTACTGTACACTTGGCGGCAAGGTGGTCTCAAAAATTGCGACAGGGGGGAATGTAGCTCAGGTGGGTTTGTTGTCGCAATCGTCTCGAATTCGATCCCCGGCGGAGTCAGCCGCGGCATGCCCCCCCCAGCGGTATGTGGGCATTCAGGGCAGCGCACGAGTACTTCTTCCAAGAAAGGTAGCCCAAGGACGAAGCAGGAGGCAGTCGAACAACCAAGATGGCCCACAAATGCGTCAAAATAGACTACCTCGACGGTGCTTGGCAAATGTGAACTCCAAATCAGTAACGTAACGAGCCAATTTATGGGCATGTGCCAATTTATGGGCAGGTTGTGATAGCCAATCAAATTTCAGTAGCAAATTCTCTTGAATTAAATACCTGTAACATTTTGTGTCACGAAGTCAATATTAAATGTGCAGGGAGTCAAGTAGTATCCGGAATTCAGCGGTATCCGGAATTTAAAGGCGCCAATTTCATGGCGCCAAGCAGAATGACCACACATACCTTACACTTTCATTCAGGCCACATGGCCAAGAAGCGCAAGCAGTATGATGAAGGCGACCTTGTTGCTGCAGTAAAGGCCTGCCAAGATGGCGAGACCGTTGCCAAAGCGGCACGGCAGCACCAGGTGCCGAGATCCACGCTGCAACGACGCTTGGAATTGGCCAAAGAAGACCAGGCACTTCAGCTACAGGAAGGCAGTGAGAGTGAGGATATCAGTGACCTCGTACCATTGGCGCGCTCATTCGTTGACCAAAGTACTGGCATCGGGGGTTACCCGG